GCTGTGACTTCATCGAGGTTTTCTAAGAGTTTTTGTTTTTCAAAATACAAGGTCTTTAATCAAAAATAACGTATACTTATTGTCGTCGGATTAACACCAAATTTTCACAGCTTTAAGGTAACAATGAGAGGAACTTGAATGTGTCCAGACAAACTACTGTATTTCATGCATTATTTACCAATGTGTTGCGGTTTGAGTTGGGGGCAATGCGACTAAAACAGAAATTAAAATTCAGGACACTACTTTTTAAAACGCGTTGCTTGAATAAAACTGACCAGAAACATTCAATTTACCAGACTATTGAACAACTAGGAAAAGTGAAAAAAAACTTCTAATCACCAGCATAAATGCGTAATTATTTTTTTTACAAAAAAAGTAATTTTTTACTTTTGATTAAGTAACGCACCGTAGAATGCAGATACGGACATGGCAAACACACCTTTGAAAAGCTTGAAGTCTGGCGATTCCAAAAATATATACTTTCCTGGGTCTATTTGTAGTCATTTGGTCACAATTAGAATATGAAAACAAGTATGCAAATAATAGTCCCGCTACCTTAAGCGGTGAGCAACATTTTTTCTTGTGTCCAGAACTTTTTGTTTACAATTTTTTTCAATATAGGTTATATGTATTTTATTGCTATGTTTTAAAGAATAAATATCAAATACTAGCCCAACCTAATTTAAAGCATGGGCTCTTGTATGTTGCAAGTGGAAAATGTGATCACCATTTACCCCCGCCCCCGCTGTCCTGGTATCTGGTATTAGATACAGGTTCAGATGGGTGCATAAAGTTAAAACTGTAAGTGCCCGTTTTGAGTCTGAACAGTATTAAATCAGACCATATTAAGACAGTTTGAGCTGAATTCAAATGTTGCACGACTGAGCATGTTACTGCACATATACGCAGTGCATTATGGGAGATAATCTTCCATAGTATAAAATGGAAAACTTAGAAACTACCTAAATTATGAAACATTTTTGAAATGTTTACACAATATTAGGATTCATGTCAATAAGAGTACACGACTCTTTAATACCAGTGTCACTGAGCAAAATCTTGAGATAGGAGAAAATAATCTCAAAATACAAAATGTAGAAACCAAGTGTATAATTGCCACAATTGACCATTTTTCATAATATTTTGTAATCTCTGGAAAATTGTCTGTTGGCCATATAATGAAGGTATAGCCTACAAAATCCAAAAAGTACGAGTGGTGGTCATCACTCGGTGCAAGACTACTCCCTCATCTGTGTTGTGTAATAGCCTAGGTTCTGACATGCCATTTGTTCAATGGC